CACCCCACTGCATGTCATATTCGACATCTTTCACAGTACTCACCTTACCTCTTTTCTACCTTCGTCTTTGAAACACTCTTCTGTTCCCTCCCCACCCCCTCTCGACTTTCTTTCACTTTGATGTTCCTTCCCCTCTGTGAAGCCCGAAGTCAACTAAAGGGGCTAATGATCACCACCAAAACGCCTGCCATTTGATATAAATAAATATTAAAAATTTCCATCTTTTAACGGAAATTAGTATTAAATTATTTGTCAATTAATCATAAAAATTATAGTAGGATTTCAATGGCATTGACTTGGAATGAAAAAGACATTGGACACAATGCGTTCAGCCTGCAGTTCCAACAATGCAAAGAGTTTATACGTCGAAGTACTCGACCTCTCCTGCTATGTGAATAAAGCTCACTAACTCAGAGTGTCATTCTACATTACAAATATATTCCGGTAGAGTATTCTGTTGACCACTTTATTCTATTTAAGTAACGCAATTCCTATAATGCAAAAATTCAATTTTTGTTATTTAAGGTAATTAAGTATATGCTCTAAGTGGAAATATATATATTTTGCTAATTACAAGATTATCAAGACAAATACACCATTGCTACACATTCAACCACGAAATCATATAGCCCTCTCTACTAAGACTTGCTTATTGGGTCAATTAAAAAACACAAAGGAGAGTATCGATTGAATTCTTACCACCTCCATTGTGTTAAATCCAAGTATTTCGGCTGATGAAGGAGGCTTGCCTCTGGCATGTGTTACGCGGCCAGCAATTCTGTCAGTATTCTTATCAAAAATCGGACGAAATGTACGCAGTAGGTAACTGCGGGTAGATTTCTCGTTGCCGTCAAGGTTGCGCTCTTATTGGGCACTTTTGATTTTTTTGCATGTGGCCAATTCGAACAATTTGGTGTCATAATTTGGTATTATACTAATCATTAATCAAAATTTTAGCTGAGATGAAATTCCACACCCAAGAAGTTCACCGCTAGCGAACTATGCCACTTCGAATTAAACAGGAAAGCAAGTAGATACAGATTTGCTATATCGTTTGCATGCAACAAGGAATTCACATTTTCCAAGAACCTGAATACGGATATATCGTTGTTCTTAGCCAGATTTTCACCTAACTTAACTTTTTATCATATTGCATATCTCTTTGTCTTAGAAGTCGTGAGGCAGGTTAGACTATACTTTTAGTAATACACCTTTTAAACTCAGTAAAACAGTGAGAGTTAGGCCTCAATCCAGCTATTGGTTAAAATCAATGGGAAATTCATTTAAAGGGGATTTGCTGTTAACATCAACGTCTTTTTAGTGATTTTAGGGATTGTCTCTTTTCAGGAGACAAACAGCTCAAATTTCATTAATACGTTCAAAAAATGGTGCTGAAATAAATGACGCAAGTAACTTGGGGTTAAAGGAAGTAACGCACCTTCACTTTTGCCCAACAACATGAATTCTCCCGTTTCTTTGAAATGCGTCTCTCCCATAAAAGTGATGTTTTTATGATAGTTCTCAACTGGGTCTACGTAAGAACTAATGATAAGGAATAGGGGTGTGCGATAGACTTACCTCCACGTGGTGCACCCCGGCCAAAGTATACTTATACGCGAAATAGCCTATAAACCGGCAGTTGACTTCTCACTTCAAACTACCATCACCCCACTGTATGTCATATTCGACTTCTATCACAGTGCTCACCTCACCTTTTTTCTACCTTTGTGTCTGTCTCTTTTACACCTTTGAAACACTCTTCTGTTCCCCCCTCTCGACTTTTGCACTTTGATGTTCCTTCCCCTCTATGAAGCCTGAAGTCAACTAAAGGGCTAATGATAACCATCAAAACGATTGCCATTTGATATAAATAAATAAATGATAAGGAATAAGGCCTGTGTTTTAGCCAATAGGCTGCTGTTTAATTTTTGGGAAATAGAAAAGAGCCAATGAACAATTTAGAAAATCGATCATTTTAATTATATAATATATGCGAAAATAAAGGCGATGAAGTCCATGTTTACGGCGGTCAGAGGTCAATTTCTAATTTTTTCGAATAGTCAGATATGCTACTTCATTTTGGTTGATATGAAATTATAACACGACAGAATTCATTGATTAATTATTAAAACACTGAAATTTACACCTCTAAGCACTCAAACGACATTTAAGACCTAATTTGGCAGGACATTTCTGATTTCGCGGCTTCATTTCCCATTTCTTCTTGATCTTCTCCGCGATACCTCATTTAGATCTGCATAGGTTTTTGCTCAGTAGAAAATTTCTAATCTTAAACATGCCTACGCTTTCAAATTTGATGAAAATATAATTAATTTGGGCTTTAAATTAGTTTATCCTAGTCAGCATGACGTCAGAACTACTGCTAGACGCCTTCAACAGAAAAAACCGCTTTTGTGCATGTTCCAATGGCGTCTAATAGACAATCTAAAGAACAGTGCACGATCACGTGATATAGAAAAAGTGTAACTTGGAGGAACCTTTTCCTTCGCGTAAATAATAAGTAATATTAATGAGTCGGGAAATAAAAGTCATTTTTAACTTTATTGTAAAGTAACTTCGCTTGAACTAACGTCTGCTACCTTCTTCCACCAAGGGTCTGAAAAGCGGCGACTTTAACAACTTGCGCATTTACCAAGTTACCGTTCTATTTCGATTTTAAATTTCTGAGATTAAACTAACAGAAATATGTTATGGCTTAGTGATGAGGGGGACCTTGGTTCTTTCCAAAAGGAAATTATACGTGAAAGTAGGCAGCCTACGATTATGCTGTCGACGTGCGATCTGTTTAATCGAACAAGATTGCAAAGTTGCGTGCATGCATAAGCAAAGTTAAAATAATAATCGGACATTTGATTTTTGAATATTGATGAAGTCTACTGAAATATAAAAAAGTGAAATCTTGTGGGGAGTAGGGGATGTAGAACGTACGGCACTACCAAGGCTGACTGAGGAGACTTCGAGTGCGTTTGAACATTCTCCAAAATGTCATCTTTCTACTGATCGGACATCGCGTATGTGCGTACAGGCCTCCCAGCCAATCTTTCTTCTTTTCAGTGAAAATACTCCACACCTGATCCCCTATTTCACCCAATTTTGGCGCAGCCTTGACAAATTCGGGAAAATTTATATTGAGAACTAGGAGTGAACAACAGGCTTACCTCCACATGGTGCACCCTGGGTAACGCATACTCATGAACCAAAAAAGTCTATAAACCAGCAGTTGACTTCAGAATACCATGATCCCACTGTATGCCATGTTCGACCACTTCCACAATGCCCACCTTATCATACGCTCTACCTTTGTGTCTATCTCCTTTACATCTGTGAACCATTCTTCTGTTCCTCCTCTCCACTTTTTGTATGATATTTCTCCCCTACTGTGAAACCCGAGGTCAACTGAAGAGCTAATGATAAACATCATAAAGGGTGTTATTTGATATAAATAAATAAATATTGAGAACTCTTCTCGAGTCTTATCGTAATTTTCTGAAATAAGGTGGACTTCTGTGAGAACTCGTGATATTTAGTGAATGCCTTGCTCATAACAAGTAGTAAAGACGCTTTATGATTTCTCTGGAAATACATATTTCATACGAATTTTCTTCAATCGTTCACTATTCCATCTGAATTCAGAAATTCAGGTATATAATTGAAAATTTGAATTTGTGTTCACCTTTTAAAAAATGCGCTGTTGATGGAAACGTAACTTAAACATTTCGGCCAAACATTTAACTGTCTTCACTTGGGAATCATTCAAAAATTGACCGATATTTCAAATCACTTAGAAAAGGTGGAAAGTACATTTTAAAGGCAAATGATATGTAGTACTTTGATGAGGGCCTGATATTACAGAAGGCCAATAGTAAGAAGAGCTGATCACTGCTAGAAGTGCAAGTAGCGTTGGTTGGGGAAATAGAACTCGATTTTTTCTCAACCTGGGTCCAAACGAAAAAAAAATATGGAAATATTCATGTGTAAGACACATTTCTTTTCATTTTACAAGGAGCACTTACGGAATGGTAGAAATGAAGCTTCATTCTGCATATGCCAAAGCTATCAATTTTCTTCAGTAAATGTGTCTCTCTCAGATCATCTCCAAAGATTGAAAAACCAAAATTGTCATGAAGAAAAATGGAAAATGTGAAGGAACCCTATTTCACATATCAACTGACAGACTGACGGTTCTGGAAGTCAACGTGGAGATAAACCTGTCAGTGGATACGTTCAACAACCTTCATGCTCTTGTGGTGACCTGTGTGATTTGAATGAACATTTCTTTGTTCCATCTTTCAATTTACTTCGAACTCAGATTTTGCTGAACTAACTTTTGGTACAATAAATAAAAGTGATTATTCGATCTAAACCTCGAGATGCTGATCATTTCTTTCCATCTCTTCCACGATATTGACCCTAAATCCGCACTCTTTAACAAATTATTTGCAAACTTTACTAGTTGGGAAGGCGTTTTCTTTCAAAATTGCAAGAACTCAGCAAAAGGGGGCTCATTCAAGTTGAAATATTGTAAAAATTATCACAATCAGTTGTCATATTGAAGGTGTAAGGCACGAAATCAAAAGACAGTCAAAAGTGTCATTGAAATATATGTTTTCAATTGAAAAAGTATGGAATAAATTATTTGACACTATTGTTTAGAATATTATAATAATTTGATTGCAAGTTATCGCAGCACATTTCATTTGTAGGCCTTTTTTCCTCGTATAACACAATCGCACTTTTTATGTGTGTAACTTAAAACTTATTAGTATTATTATTATATTATCATTATATTAAATATTATATTATTTTTATTAGCCTAAAACTAGAATTTGACTTTTCCGACACAGCCGCTGATTCAGTTCCCACCTGCCTTGGACCTTATTTATCGCGCCTGCTTAAGCAAGCAGTAGGTGTGACAAGGGCGTAATCAGAAGTCCATTATTCATCCAACAGAAGGTGGTGGTGGATTAAAGAGGTAGACGATGGAACCCGGCGGAATTGCACCCCGTCTAGCCTTTGTTTGGAAAAGGTTAAAATCGACCTTCATTATTATTACGACACCGTCACTATTGGCGTGCATTCCGGAAAAGAAACGACAAACACCTGCTGACGTGGGCTCTTGCTGTGAAGCTGTTCTGCTTTATTCCTACTCAACGTTACAAATGTTTTCATGTTTATTCATTACCTAGAAATCTCCTGCTGGCGTAAAACTGTTAAAGAAGACGAGAAGGGAGAGGAAATGGACGTACTCCGAAAGACTTCAATTTTGCCTTACCCCGATGGCACGCTGGTCATCGTACTCGAAAATGCCCAAAGTTCATAGGTTAGGAGATCGATTCACGTCGGCACACCCCTGGTGGCCAACTCCTCTAGCTAGCTCTGACCAAACAGACGGGCGACTGTCCCACGCAAGTGACTCCAAAATTCTTTTCATCTACACAATTTAGGTGGCTATTAATGTTAGTTCCATTACTTATTATACCTTATTTGCTGTAGAAATATTCGAGGTGTCAAAATCTTCGAGGAGGTTTATGTACTCAAAAGAAGAAGAAGAAAGCGCTTGCGTTAAACTGAATGAATGGTCAATGCCAACTGTTTAGTGCTACACTTGGAGGTTGATCTAACAGATTCTGAAAAATTTATCAAATCATTTTTAATCATTACAAGGTAAAGTCAATAAGGACATTTATTAAACTGGCACCAACTTAAACGAGGCCTAGTTAAAAAAGGTTCTCTGATGAATACCATCGTTTACTTGTATAGCAACGGGATGTGCGATAGTCTTACAATATGGTACGTATACTCATATGGCAAAAAAGTCTATTAACCGGCAGTTGACTTCTACCTTCAAACTACCATCACCCCACTGTAAGTCATATTCGACCCCTTTCACAGTACTCATCTTACCTTTGCTCTGTCCGCCTCTTTTACATCTGTGAATCGTTATTCTGTCCCCAGCCTCAACTTCTTGCCAATTTGGTGTTCCTCCTCCTCTCTGTGAAGCCCAAAGTCAGCTAAAGGGTCTCCTCTCTGTGAAGCCCAAAGTCAGCTAAAGGGCTAATGGTAACTATCACAACGCTTACCATTTGAAAAAAATAAATGAAAATTTTATATTAACTGATCACATTCGATTTTCTACGTAGACTCCATTGTTGTCCATACACTTTCGTAATCTATATTTCTTCTCGCAGAAGTGCAAAGCGAGTGGGTGAGAGGCCTCGTGAAGAGTTCGATGGGAGTTTGGTGAGTGGGAGAAGGCGATGGCAAGAAGAGGAGGATGAGGAAATGATGGAGGAAGATGAGGATGATGCCAACATGGATGCGGAAGGAGAAGTGGATGAGGAAGAGTTGGAGGATGACCATGAGGAGTACCTCAATTCTTGTGAGTTTCGGTAGACTACAACGTTAAGTGCTTCTTGACTTGTAGATGGTTGAATGCCAAAGCTATTGATTAAAGCTGAGTAGCACTTTTCAATGTCCTTTTTAATGCACTGCTTCAGAGAGGGCAAATCTAATTTAACCTCGAGGAGTTCCATGGCCATCAATATTTTTCCATCAATCTCCAGGACTCATTAAGAGATTAGTTTGACTGATGAAATTATCATTATTCAAAAAGGCGATCTCCCTCAACATTCCTGAAATCGTTTACGATTTAATGGAAAAGGCTAAAAATCGCCCACTTGTGGATTTAATAACCGACAAGTATTTCACCATTAAGTATGAAGTATTTAAATGCATAAACCGGTTAGGATACTTTTATAAGTACCGGTGTGTTGGGGGGGGGGGGANGTTGCCTAATTATCCGACTGATACCATTTGAGAAGTCAGTGGGATCCATTGTGCAATCATTTCGGCTTCCTCCATGAAGTTGTTCAGCAACTAACTTGAACAGTTATGGCCTTCAAATTTTATCGTAGCCTGCATTCTCTTCTTGAATACAAAACAAAAACAAGAAAAATGCACTTGTTATTGTCTGTTGTTTGGAGTGTGCTCTATCCACTTGAACTCACTGAAGTCGTCTTTTCCTTCATGTCCCCCCCCTTACCCCCTCCCACCTCTTAAGTGTGTACAACTCAACGACACCTATTTCTTACATATACCAGGGTGAGTCAAAAGGTTCTCAAACAAGTTCCATGATTCACTTATTTAACAAGTGATTCCATCCAATTTTCTATATACACTCCATCGTTGTCTACTTGCGATTTCCCTCATGAAGGAATTTTGGTGCCGTCTTTGCCATCTAAAGACGTAGATCGGGTGACTTCCAGGTGTTCTTTCTGTGTTGGAAGCAAAAATAGTCTGAGGGAACTAGGTCTGGACAACAAGGAGGATGTGAAAGTGTTTCACTCCAAAATTCATACAACAGGACTCTGACAGCTCCTGAATAACGTGCAAAGGCATTGTCATGATGAAGCAAAGTTTGACTGTGCAGTTTTCAGCTCTGTTTTTTGGCGAGAGCTGCCTTTGTCTTCCTCCAAACGTCTTCGTAATAACCTTTGGTGACCTTTTTCTGTCCTTCTAGAAAGTTTGGCAATACGTGTCTTCCCTTTTGAATCACTCTTCTGTTCCCCCCCCCCTCGACTTTTTCCCACTTTCATGTTTCTGTGGCAGGTTTTCCTGTGTCTGGAAACACTCCCAGAACTAGCTAAGCTACCGCAAAACTATAGGGGAAACAGACGTAATTACACGGAACACGCTTATTTTGGTTGTCTGTGAGTGGGCGTAAGGACACGGAGTTTAGTCATTATATTAATAAGGCGGATTTGGTAAACCAAGCGAGGACTGATGATTGGCGGTTATCTCACAACCACATTTACTCCCTACACAAAGTTTCATGGCCGCAACTGCCTCTACCGCGGAGACGTTTGTGCCCCACCAACTTACCCCTTGTTCTATATGATTCCGAAACATCGTGTTTGGGAGAATTGGGGTACAAAGTCCCAGTTCGTTCTAACACTCTTCCCAACTTCCATCACCTGATTTTCGCACCTCCTTTTCCTCACTCCCTTGAGCTTCCCCCCCCCCATAGCCCCCCACCCCCGCCCCCTTCACCAAAAAATGCTCAATTTCAAAGGGTCTGTTGGCCGATCTGAAAGCTGTGGTTGCCTGTTGTGGCCTTTGGCTGTTAGCTATTACTTAAAAAATTCGATTCGAACAAGGCGATGCATAGCGGTTCACGCATCGGTTGACGAAAGTCGATTTTATGGTGTCAGCACTCTCGATGATAAGAAGAGCCAATGAGATCCTAGGAACTAATTAGCCCATTTCCGCTTAAAGTGAAATATTACTTAAATTTGCGTGAAATTTTTAACCTAAGGCAAGCATTTTAATTGCACTTAACCGTTTGTACTTTCCAAATTCAATTTAAGCCAAATTCACTGAGGTGATGTCATTTATTTAAGGACGACTTTTAAGCATCATAGTTTTGACGTGTACGTAGAAGCAATCAGATCTATGGTTGAAGTCATTCTATTGTGGCAAGAAATGCGGTGTTAATAACAAGAATTTTGATCCATGTGAGGTTTATGTGGAGTGCTCAACGTTGACATGGCTGATTAAATGAATCTCAAGAGCGCCAGAACAGTTCGGAAGGCGCGCAGTTCCTATTGCTGGTGGGGGGGGGGGGGGGGGGGGGGGGGGGGGGGGGGGGGGGNGGGAGTAGGTGCGGTGTGAGCACAGGGATCTCTCAGCCAATCAGAAATCAATAGCAGCTGTAACTTAGACCAGTTCAAGTCGTACTTACTCGCTAAGTTTTGAGTAGTAAACATTGCTCACGCCATACGCACCTTGTTCTCGTTATTGGCTGGGGTAGCATATTGATTTCTGGGAGAAATTTTATGCCTGAGAATTTTGGGTTTACTCATGACCTAGTTACGCCAGTAAACGTCCTTATTCATTCAATCTATAAGTTACCAGATTGCAATGTCGACTTATCGAAAGATACAACAAAAAAGGACATAAGAAGACTTACCTTGGACGCATTCGACAGCTATTTCATTCGTAATGAAGATACGAAAGAAATTGTGAATCCTTTGATGGTCATGTTATTTGGACTTGACAAAGCTCTAATTTCGAGAAACTAGTGAAATTAATCTTTGCCGGATCTTGGCCTGAATGGGTGGTGGTCAAGACGTCAATTTTTAATTAAAAGAAAAGATCTCTCGTTAAAATCCACATCTTAATTTAAGAGTAAAGTGTAATTTTCGATTTTTATAAGTTCAAATTGAATCACTTAAACAAATTTTCAACTTGTGACAAAGAAGTCGAATTCGCATTGAAAACAAAGGATAACAAGAAGAGCTTGACCTATCCAGAGGACAAAAACGTTCCTAAAACCCCGAATTTTGAAGATAAAAGCTGACTACCTACGACAACTAGGAACTATATTAAACTAGGTTTTCGCAAAAACAAACTCCCTGCCTTGCCCACGAATTACAGCAACATTAATTTCATGCATTCGCTATCAAAACTGAGAATGACAACAGAATGGCCTAGAAGTACTCAGAACTGGACAATAGACTCCCCGAAAACAGCAAGGATGACGTTAAAATGCATTTTCTAGAACAGAAGGTAAAAGCAGTAGGCAAACTACAGCATTAGATACGAATTTCGGGGCCCCAACCACGCGTGAAGCGTACGATAGTAATTGCGAAACCGAGTTAACAATGCGTCATTAATTCCTCATTTCAATAATGACAAATAAAATTATATCATCCAGAATATCGCAAAAAACTAGTCATACATGAATAGAAAGGTGAAAACAAAAGAAACTAATTTTAAACGTTATTATACGGAGTTTGCATGAAATAAAACAACAAGTCGTTGAGAGGACAGTAGGATACTTGACATTTCGACAAACTTTATGCTTCATAGCATTGGAAACAGGAAAGCTACGTAAATACCACATGAAAGAGATATTAACCCGACAGTTCGAACAAAAATAAGCACATATATAGAATATAATATGAAAAGCAATAAGCTACTTATATTTACAAGTACAATATATACATAGAGGGAATCACTTATTCATACTCTCGAGTTCTTTAAGCAGGTAGTTGATACGCTCCTTCAAGATCGGTTGACCTTTCTTGTTCATTTTACTCCAAGCCTTATTTCGCTGTTTACGTTTCATATCCCTTTCCTGGCGCTTCGATTCAATCAACTTGCGCTTTTCTGCTTTACTCTGAAATGAATTTGATTACGGAAAAAAATTTCAATTACCTGTTCGATTTCCTTCTGCCTTTCCAATAACTTATGAAAACGCTGCTTCTTATCATGGACCTGGTTACGGCTTTTATTACTTTCAATCCTAATACTGAATATTAATCAAAGTAAGTAAATATAGAATTTACTAATCCTTCTTCATCTTTAAATTACGATTTTTGGATACAACGTGATTACGTTTCTGTGAAGAATCCATCTAAATCATTAAGACAAAAAATAAAAAAAATCAATTCACATTTAAAACGTTTAAAAAAAAGCGAAAACGAGGATAGAAAGGCACAAATTAGCTTAGTGTGAAAATATAATGCACAATGACATTAAATAAGAAAACAATGGAATACGAACAAATAAACTCAACAGGAATAAAGTAATAAAAGAAACAAAGAGAGAAATAACGGTTACGTCAACTATACAAGTGTAAGTGAAATCGCAAATATAAATGTTACAAAGATCAACTAAGTAGTGGTTAGGAGGCAAACAATCAAAAAAACACTGCATACCACACCGTGAAAAAAAACAGATGCTTTCACGCCTATTTAAAGAAGACGCCAATAGTTGGATCAGTAAAAGTTACAGTTGCTTAAATTTAAACAAGTTTTAATTTATCATTTAAATATTACAATAGCACTATAAATTATTTTGTCTAACGGACATCATCTTTTATATTTAAATAATTAATTAGCCTCGAAAGATATTGATAGATAAAATTGACACATTTCATTGAAACACAGTCTCTATCATGGTTAAAATCCTCTGCGATACTATTGTGGAATTTCGAAGAACATTTCTGCTTTGAGGAAACTGATATATATTTTCGAAATGTTGAAATCAAAATCATAATAATTAAGAGAATGGGTGCTAGTTCAAATTTCACAAAAGTTGATCCGATTTATAATAAATAGCTTACACTTAAATGATAAAACATTTATCTTTTTTTGTTGTCAGCGAATGCACCACCAGTGATCATTGTGATCCTGTAGGGATTGACGCTTTTAACTGCTTATTAATTTATATTTATATTTACATTTGCCGAAATTTTGCATTTCGGCATATATACCGACAATTTGTCAAGAAAAACACAATATATAGCATATCGACTAAATTGAGAAGTTTATGAAAGGAATCTGCAAATGCGCATGCCCATGTTTTGATCAAACAGCATGGTATGCTTACATACATTTCACTTATTGCTATGTTGAAAATTAATTCACTCAAAAAAGCGTTTGTTCTGATAGAAAATATGATTTCTACAAATGCTATTAATTTTCCTCTCTTAGACGAGCACTTTCACTAAAATTAATAAATATTCAATTTCATCTCAATTAATAAATCGTTGTTTGGTTAAAATGCTCAAGAAAACTGAATTTTTGCTGGCACATTGTTCGTCTATAAAAATGGAGCTTTACGTTTAAGTGACTTAATTCACTTTTTAGTTTCTAACTTTTGATGTCCCGAAAAAATACGAATATCGATATTTAATTTAATGGCCATTTACATAGACAAATTAATTAAATACAATTTAATAACCAATCTTTACTAATACTATTATGAATGATTGGGCTTTCGTGAAGTAATATTTAGTTAATGAAAAGGGTACATTTCTAAAGTCAAAGTTTGTTAAAATGACACAAATTTATCACCTTTTCTCGCATGGCAATTATAGAAAACCTGTAATTTCATAAGCATAAATAAATAATTATTCATTGCGAAATTTAGAAGAAAGTACAATTGAAAACATCTATTTGTTTTTAGTTACGTGATTTCTGCAATTTTTCTCTATTCGAGCCAACTTTTTTCAATGATAATGATTGCAGGATTGCTCAATGCGTTTTGGCTTAATTTGGGTCTGTCTTCTATTTTTTTAAAGAAGGAAAGTAGTTAAATTATTATGTAAGCATTTTCATATTTTTTGACGATGATTATACAATCTGTGCTGTTTAAATTTTTTGACCATGAATTGTTTTTGTGATTTCATATTTATTTATTCCGAAGCAGACCAATGAGAACTTAGCCTTCTCTGTTCTATGGTTGGTTAATCCTTCCATTACAATTTTGATCCTAGTTAGGTAGAAGTATATTTATTTTGATATATTAACATATTTACATTTAAATATACCACAATTAATTTTTCACTGCTATAGTTACAGTGGTAATTTAACTATTGTTCCACATTTTTGATATATATTGTATAAAACCTGCTTCTCTGTGTATTATATATATATTTTTCACTTGCAGAATTTAAATTTTAAAATGGTTTGGTGGATATATTTTTTATTACAATATGAATAAGCGTGTTGTTAGCGAACCACCCCCGGCTCTTCCTCCTAAACTTTACAAGATTCGACGTAGTGAACTGCAAAATAACAATGCACATCTATCCTCAAAGAACATCCAAAATGGTCATCAGAATTCGGTAATTATCCCTTTTACGAGTATTATGTTGTTCTGAATTTAGATGTCTTATGCTCAAACGAAACAGCCAAATGGAATGGATAATGTTCTCTCGAGCATTTTAAGCTTGACGTCTACGGACCTCAAAGGAAAGCCGGCACGTTATTAAATATCGCTTTTTTCTTATTTTTCTATTTTTCTTTTAAACAGAGGGATGAGCTTGTATTGATATTGCTCCACCTTAATCACGAAAAGGCCAACCTTCTGCGTTGGAAGGAATATTTCAATGAACAGATTACGAAATTGGCCCCCGCGGCAGAGTAAGTTGGTCGATAAAAAATATTTACCTGAAGTGATATTTTTAAATAACTGTAATATTTATGCGTAGTTTATGTCGCTTTCAAAACACGTTAGTTATTAACTGTCACACGGTGGTGTAATTTACGTGCCATTTGCAAATTTGTACCTCCTTTTGCGTGACTCGTTGCTTGGGGCTTGTAGGTTTGCCACACAACTGTTTTCTTTAACTTTAAATATTTTAATATTTTTTAATATGCCTAGTGGATACGTCAACGTGGTTTCCTGTTGGTCTGCTATTTCGTTCTCTGTCACTCCTTCTTCCTGTCTTATCAAAATAAGATTTATGACATAAAGCAAAACTTAGTGGAGATTTTATGGTTTAAAATTTTTATAATGAAAGCCTTCAACTTTTCAACTATTCATGCTTTCCTTAATAAGCTGTGCTTACTGTTTTCTTGCATATTTTTGTTGCAAACAAATCCTATAAATGTAGGTAAAACAAAGCATAAATTGGGTTAAGGATTATAGATAAAATGGAGAAAAAAATCGGTCAATTGAGTGAGCATCCTATTTTTTTCAAATTTTTTTGGACACAATGAGATAGTTTTACTTATATTCAATTACTAATGCACACTTGTATCTTTATTTTTCTCATTTTGTGTTGATTCTTTCCTCGTTTCAATTCAAGTGCGGAATAAATTAGGGGGCGTCTTTTACGAGCAGACTCATTATGCATGCATTTTGTGAGAGGATTCATTGGCGCCTCCTCCCTGCAGCAGGCGACTGCTCTGTGTGCAGTCTGCGTGGCAGATTTTATGCAATGAGTCGTCTTCCATTTTGTTTGTAAACTCTTCTTATCTCTCCCTCTCCCTCTTTTCTTCACCAACCACAACACTACTTAGTATTTATTTAAGTAACAACAGGCGGTATTTTTCACCCTGTCTCCCTTACTATCATTTCCTAATTATTATTCCCATAAAAGTAATAAAATCAAGGCCACTTAAGATAATATCTGCTTTTATTTTTTAAAAAAACCCCCACCCTCGGGGGAAGCTGAAGTCAAATTTTAATTGCTAATGATAAATATCACAAAGCCTGCCATTTGAAATAATAATAATAATTTTTATAAAAAATGATCTGTGTGACGGGACTACTATTAATCAAGTGTTTCTACCAATCAACCGTGTGAACTTATCTGCTGCTCTTATGCGTATTAAAAAAGAATAATAGTTGTTCATAACACAGCCAGAAAAAAATTAGTGGCTTTTTAAATTTTAAAAAAGAATGGCACAGCTCCCAATTATTGGTGGAAGAGTATGCCATTCAAATAAATTGGTGCAATATTTTGTCCTTATTTTAGATCAGGAAAATATGTCTCGGTTCGGTTTTGTTTCAATCTAAGAAGTCACTTTTCAAGGATTAATTTAAAGCAATCGCATTAAAATTTAAGTGTTTTAAAAATAGACAGAGGAGTGATAGCTTTAGGTTACTAAATCCTGCTTTTTTGAGATAGCATTTTTAGTGAAATGCAGAAAATGAAGGAGAGTTGATGGGGAATTTAATCGTAAAAGTTGAATAATTTAGTTGAAATTATGTAGTATTCATAAGTTCGCGAAGTTCTTTTTGATCTCCACTTTCTATAATGTTTAAAAAGCATTTTAAATCCTATTCTAACAGTTGTTTGAGTTTTTATCTATTAGCTATCTTAAATACATTTGACAGTACATTGGATCGAGATCAGCACATATCTATAAAAGTAGTGCTTTCAGTATAACTGCAGTCGATTTCCGACGTGGTGAGTGCAACACGATGTGTTCTGGGTGATGTTGAAGACGCATTTATTGGTTTCAACGGCGCGCTTCCATTCTTCACTTCCTCTCTTTATTTCGCAGGACGGATCCGAAAGCGGGCGAAGAGGTTGATAGTCTCTGCTTGGCGTTGAAGGATGTTGAATCGCAGTTGGCGGCTTGCCTGCCTATCACAACCTTTCTCAGCAAAAAACTTCGTATGAACGATGTCTGCGCCGGTGACAACAGTTTGTCAGGCTCCCCAGCATATGAGAGGGCAAGTTTGCAGTGTTTCGCCTAACCAAAAGTGCTTCACTTCAGTGCAATTTCAGTCAATTCTGATTTTCCTGTTAAGTCAAAATTTCCTGTTACCTAATATGCCCAGCGAACAGCGCTCGCTCTAAATCATTGGATGTTCACCTTTTTGCATTAAGAGCCATCTTTTCATGGTAAACCTGCGATTTCTCAAATTGATTCACAAATTTTCGAATTAACTTATTTACGCTTTCTGAAGTAAAGGGCATTTTTTAGATGCCCAACATTTCAATTTTACTTCCGTCCAGCTCTAAATAAGATTTCTTGACTTGCATTTCACAACACTCACCGTTGCAGTCAATCCTGTTTCGAGGCGTTCAATTTGAAGTTGAGCGGACGTTTTCTGCACATGAGAAGAGAATTTCCAGTCAATTGTTTAACTTCATTCAATCATTTGCTTGTTTTAAGAGAGGTTTAAGCCTTTACCCTCTACTCATTTCTTACTAATCATTCTTTGTTCAAAAGTCATCAATTGTGGATTTCGGAGTAACAAAATTGGAAGTGGTTCGTGAGTGGTGGTAGCAAAAATGTGACCGAATTTAGACTACCAAAGCAAACATGACAATTAGTCTGACTGAAACAGACCTTTATGCCAAGAAGAAATCGAGCTTAACATATGAACTGAACTCGTCATAACTTTTTCGGCTCAGATATGGAGTAAACATCGTAGATTAATTGCGCCAGCGGGTATGGAAATGAAGTGTAAATCGCGTGCAATTTTGTGAAGTACTCATTCATTCATTCATTCATTGTTGGACTAATTTCCTTCTTTTTTTGTTCAGCCAAACGTGTCACTCACTCGCCAGAAGAGCATCAACTTTCTTCGACGCGAGGAGGAGCGAGAGGTGGCGCGTGCCTTGAAGGCGAAACTGAGTCGAAATTCCACGGCGCTCGCTGAGACCTACGGTGTGGTCACCGCCTCTCGCATGCTCGAGCATCGCAAACGCCAACCCTCTGTGGAATCACCTCGTGTCATCAAACTTCAGGACTACCCCGAGGAGCCCGCTTTCAGGGAGAGGCGACTCCAACTGGAATCCGAGTTGAAAAAACTGGATGAATTGTGGAAGGAGGCGTGTGAATACTCTCCAGTTATGTCGACACCGATTTCGAAAACAGTAAGTATTCTCGTTTTAGCGCGTGTGTGTATTTTTTAATAAATATAAATTAGTTTTGCAAATTCCTGAAGAAGCTCTTTATTTGCTTGTTACAAATTTGATTTAACTGGATCTTAAAAGGTTCTCCTATTTGTTATTCTGTGAACTATACCCATTGGGTAAAAAGTGTGCCCTTCAATGTCAAATGACATTTTAATCGAAGTAAGTGAAGACATCCTCGTCATTTCACCCCCCCCCCTCCCCACCAGCGAATTTTTTTGAGTAAAGTGCATTTTAAATGACATTTCTGTTAAATCAAGATTTTTACCCTGTTCTAAGGTAAGTTCCAGCTGCCGTCGCCAGAAGTCCTCAGTTTTAAGGCGCTTGGAAAGTCGAAAGCTGGATTCCTCTGAGGTGACTCGTCCACTATCCGCTTGCGATGTGACCAATTTGGCCTACGTTCCACGTCGAAGTACGCGTCGTCTCTATCGCTCTGACCTCTCCTCCTCTTTCTCTGCCGATCTGGAACGCAGGCCAGCGCGAAGTCAATCGCAAAGTTCTTTGTGTCGCAATCCCAAGGCTGTTGAAAGTCCTCGTCATCTCCGGGCAGTCAATCGGTCGTAAGTTTCGGAGCATCATAATTTTGCCTTCATTTGGATCTAGACACTTCCAGATCCTATTCAATCGACATTCACTTGAATTTGCAAATAATATATTTGCTGACCGTTAATGGTGGATAATTGGCACATATGATGCTTGCATCTTAATATCGACGCCACTTATGACTCCAAATTCCTCTATTTTGTATTTTTTAAGTGAATAGTTGTTCGACGTTTATTAATCCATTGAAGGAACCTCTCTCAACCAACTTTTAAATAGATTGAACTTTAATATTCAAAGCAAAATTTTATTTTCTATTTCAATTTGTTTTTCACTTTGCTAATTTTACTTTAGTTTACATTTGGGAAAATTGCACTAATGCTTACATTTCACATTTACACTCATTCGGGAAGAAAAATTTCTTGATTTTTAAAAGAAAACAGATCCGTGTCAGGTCTGCACACCAATCACATCCGGCCTCGTTGAGTAATTTCAAAGCCTTCTCACAGGCCAATGACTACTTTTGCTTCAACTTTGAGTAAATGCCAAGAATTTTTGTTGGCGGCTTCAAATTCTTCGCGGCAAAAGCCTGAAATTTAATGAACGTTAATTAAGACTCAGATGTACTTATGCAACGAATTAGCTGAAATATGATCGAATTAGAGTTTGCAACTTAATAGATTCATTGTTATCCCATACGCTGCATTAAGACTTTAATGAAAAAAATATATAAAGCAAGATGTGAATTGCTGAAAATTACGGTTGTTTCCTTTCTACTATTTCCAGTGTTTCATCAGCCTCAATCGGTCGCCTTTCGGAAAAGCAGAAGCAACGCCATTCGTCAGAAAATTCGAGAATCTACACAGCTCCCAAACCCAAAAATCAAGCTGCCTCTGGCATCTCCTCATTCCTCATGGAACCTACTCAGGCTGTTCAGTCTCGATGGAAGGTTTCCACTGACGAAGAAGACGGTTCTTCATCAAATTCCGTCTTCTCCTCACACCCACCTCCTCCACTTCCTCTACCCCCAATGCCTGAGCGACGAAAGAGTTCCTCTCTACTTAAATCTCCTCCTCAGCTGAATCGATGGCGTAGCTTCGGTGTGAGTAATTTGCCAAGTATTTTACATTAAACTTTGTTCTCATAGCCCATGAAGCGTTCGGGCAACTTGAATTTCAAAGTCATCAGTACAACGAACCTAGTTTTCAGTTCGAATCTAAAAATTAAAGGGACCTTTTGAGAGCTTATTCACTTTAATCACACACTGAACCTGTTGTTAATAGGTCATAGCTTTTCTTCCACCCCCTACCCCCCACCCCCATCTCCCACCCCAACCCCAAAAAGTAAGATATGTATGCGTTCACCGTTGGGCAGTGTCATAGAAAAATTGTTGACATAAGTAAGGGAGTGCAATCAGGGGGCAAGAGTATACCTAGAAATCGTGAAGAGGACTATGCAGAGCTTTCTCATAGTTAGTGGTAAGCGTTTCCTTCTCTGTATCAGCCACCTAAGCACCGCGCATCGCAGTTAGCGTAGTGTGTGTATGGCAGTTGCAGAGAGGGGTGGGGTGGGGGGGTGGAGAGAGAGAGTGAGTGAGGAGGTAAAAAAATTCTGGAGTTCATAGTTTTAAAGTAACCATGGGAGCGTTGGATTGGGCATTTTGATCAAGTAATCAAGCAATCGGTTAGGCAGTTCAACCTTTCAAAAATATGTGCTCAAAATGCCTTTATTTCGACGGACCAATTAGAAGCACACACAATATGTGGAGATTCGGTGCTATTTCCAATTGGCCTTATTTCTGGCTACCAAAATAGCGCGCACGCACACACGTTTTACATTGAGACAAAGGTTATCATGATACGATCAGCGGTAGAGCATTCTTCTTCAAGCTGCAAATCAATGAGTCACAGAAGTTCCCATTAGGCGGATGGAATACCTGGTGCTTGGGGTAAACGTCGGACCTTCAAGTCGACATTTTCTCAAACATGGTTGAGGCGCATCTCTGTTCTCTTTTTGCCGTAGATTTCCTTTAGCAAGAGTGTTATAGTACGATTCGAATTCCGGAAAATAATAGTGGCTAAATATCACATTTTTAATTTCCAAAAATTATCCATTCAGCTTCAAACAATTTCTCCACCCTCTTCTGTGTAAATTATTTCGAACTATCCAAGTTTGAAAATCGGAGAGTATTTAAACGACAACTCATTCAGAAGTCGATCCAACTATTCTCTGCTTTCTACACTGTTTCAATTCTTGTGAAACTGCTTGATGAAGGTGTAGTGATTAGTCCTGGTAACTCTACTAGGTTTGCCAAGCCATCCGCCATCCTAATTATTTATCTTCTACAATTCCAGGACAATCTGATGCAAGTAGACCCCCAACTGAGGCCTAGAATTGGTGGCAGCAACTGCTCGGAAGGAAATAGAAACTTTCGTCATCAAACTAAAAGTCGCACAAGCGGTAAAATGACTCCTAACTTTGCTATGTCAAATCATTGCTTTATCCTCCAATCAGATCATTGTTTTAAAGTAGACTCTAGCCAACCAACTCTTCTCGAGGGGACAGACGATGTATTTCCCGTTCCAAGCGAAGACTTCTACGAAAAAGAGCCATTTGTGGAATCTCCATATCTCACTGTGAGTTAAGCTTTTACTTGAGATACCTATGCTCTCTTAACTAGCTGTGACCGATTCATCCTCAATTTGTCCTTCAGCCTCGAGACTTGCATTCATCTTCAACCGGTGCAAACGGGCAGACTCTTGAGGAGCAGCCACTTAGTGCGAGTTTTTTAACGACGGCTGTTGAATACATTCCAAGCGAAGCCAATTACGGTAAGTTGTTGTCGTTCTCTTCAATCCTACTACGGTTCAGCCGCTCCGGCGACATCTTTGAAAGAGAGAGAGCCTAGACCAATCAGCTGATTCATTTTAGACACAACTGAAGGCAACTCTGTTACCACCTGGACATATCCTCCCGATCTGACTAAAGAGCCGGCGAATAAGAGGGCCCTTGCCCTCCCCAAACCTGTATATCCCCCCTTTGACCCACAAGTGAGGTCATCGTGACCTTAAAGTCCATGAATCAATAAGCACTACTAATTCCTAACGAACTGCCTATTGCTAATCCCCTAACTAAGCACATCTTTTTTTGTCGAGTGGAATTTAACAGGATTTTTTGCTTGTTTTTCTTTTTAGAATAAAAACGAGAAGAAGCCCCTAACCCTTCCGATCTCAATGTTCAGTGCTTTTCGTATTCCAGAGAAGTCGTTTGGACTGCATCATACCCAATCGGCTATCTAGGATTCCATGAAAATGGGAAACAGTTTCAGACCTTTTTTGGGAATTTAGTGATGTAAAGATAATACCCCACCCCCACCTTGCTTTATTTAACGCTTTCTAATAAAGTTGATTATGAAGAGTTCTTAAATTCGATTTTCCCTTGAAAATTATATAATTGCAAATACCTTTCATTGTGCAATAATAAACGCTTTATATTTATTTTTTATTTAATGCGCTGTATATTGTTGTTATGAATGAAAAACTGTTGGTGGGATGGGATAGCCATTAAAGCGTCGTCTTTTATCACAAACAGCATTTTCAAAATTGAAGTTTAATCGGATTAAAATCGCTTAAATTGACACAAATAGAAAAAGAAACATTCTAGAAATTTGAAAAATAAATAACTTTGTGCCACTTTGATCAAGTAGCGCTTTCTATGATTATTTACTGAGGACTACTTGAGTGAGCTTAACCACCGAGTGGATTGAAATGGACAGGAATTCAATTTTAATAACTGCTCAGATGCCCATTTTAAAGCTACACAGTACTCAGTAAATAGAGAAAAGACTCAGATCAAATCAAAATCTTTTTCTTTCTTGCATTGAGCATAAGCGATAGGGACTTAGCTATCAAAAATCAATGCAACGGGTTCTGAGTGAATTTGATCATACCTGTTCACTTATGAACATGGGAATCTAAAAGTCGATAATTCAATCCATGAGAGATCAATCGTGCATGCCCCGAGAATATTCTAGTGGGTAACCCAGCACAACTAAAGAAGACGAGTAACTTCCCTGAAACTGCGGACATTTTGTAGGGGTGCCCTTTTCCCCAACTTTCAAGTGGGAATTATGCCGTCCAGTCTTGCTTTCCATCTCCAGATTATCCTCTCGAAACCGCGTTCGCTCATTCGCTCCTTGGAAATGGAGAAATTCATTTTTACAGCTTATTTCCATAAGCACTTTGCAACATAAGTTTCTTGGCTTTATTCAGAGATAGCTTTAAGAAAATTGAGAATCATATAGAATCGTTCGTACAACGCACTCTTCTAGCCATATTGCAATAAATGGAGACTTAGCAAAAGGATTTGGTTTGACAAAATCCTTGTCCAAGCTAAATTTCAATCTTACTTCACCTTGGCATAGATGGACTGGAACAGCCTAAGATGATAGGATGCCAATGCTCTTCTAGCAATAAGTTGACAATAAAAAGCTCAAAAATCAAAGAACTTTGCAATAAGATCATATGCAAATGTGGGATGTTTTTTTATTCAATTTAATACCGAAGTAACAACTAACACCTTTTAGTACATTTAAACAAGTGCAGACATTTGGTCAGTAAATAAAAGTAGAATGAATAAGTCTCCGAATCGTTGTTGCTTTAATTTCTTTAAGATAAAAGAATATTTAGTTTTTTTACTCAAAATATACATTCCCGTATATCAATGCAAAGCGTAATTAAGGTTTTTTAAAACGTAGTCATCCATTTAACCAAAAGCTGCACACTGTGTATAAGTAAACAAGAAAAGAGAAAAATGATACCACGTGGGTTTTACCAATTCTGCAGGTCAGATGACACAATTCGATTTAAAATCGCAAAAAATGCACGAGCCAGAATAAAGCCACGAAATATTAAACATTACGGAGTTCATTATCTCTATCACCAATGGCAATGTAGACAACATCAACATGGAAAAGATGTCTGAAGAAAGAAATCTCAAGGAATGCAATCGAGCTTCTAAGAAATAAGAAGGAGAGAATTGTGAGAAATTAATCTACAATTTGCCTTATCACAGACTATAATGAATGATGGATGTAGAAGTACATATAGTGGGAACATTTGAAATTGGTCGGTCTATATGCACCTGCAAAATCAAAAAATCTCTCGAATAATACATTTCTACTGAAAAAAATAAGTAGCAAGTCAATTTAACTCACAGATCGGGAGTTCGTGAATTCAGCTGCTAATAGTGACCACGATATGACTAAATAAAAAAACACGTATCTAATAAAATGGGTCAATCGCAAGCTCAAATAAATGATTTACTAAATTTCAGCTTATCGGAATATAATTATACATTGATTAGTCAACCCGGTTTGGAAATCTTACTCACCATGCCTTCATCTGAATAGTCAATGTCACCTTCTTGTTGCTGCCAATACGGTTTATTCACAGAAATAGAACGTTTCTGAGGAATGGACTGTTGGCGGTGAGGAAGGTAGTTAGATGGCTGGTGGATAGGCTGATATCGAGGTGCAGCACTTCCCATTGCAAATGGATGATGCCCGGACGGTTTGGGATGAATTATGTGAGGTTTGCGGTGGTCTTGAGAAACTCGTTGGTATCCTCCAAAATAATAACCCCCACCAGCGGGATGCGATGCGACTTCTTCGTCGTATTCAGCTGAAAGGGAAAAAGAACCAATAACTATAAGAAGGGAGTAATAGTGTTAGATAAATGGAAATGGCTATAAATAATAGAAAATAAATAGCAGTGAATATAGAGGACTTTTAAGTGCAATGAATGGAAATAGTGGGTAATTATTACCGCAATAATATGAGGATAAGTCATAAAGTTCTCGGCTAAAAAATGTCATGATTTTAAATAGGAAAAAGATTGACAAGAATTAGCAAGTTCAAACCTGTCTCAAGTGCCACCTTAATGACACTCAGCTGTCCGATCATTACATGCAAGGTCCGGATCAAGACAGATTGCAACTTAAAAATGGCTGACAATTTTCAACTCCCTTCAATGACAAATTTTGAGATAAAAGCTAGCTTCAAATTTCTAACTAAACTATACTGGAAATCTGTTCGAATAAGAAAAGCTAAATAACAGATTTATGGGGGTTTGGATAAAGAGTGAAGGGGGAAACTGTGTTATCGGGGATGAGAAATGGGGATCCACCAATTTGATCTAGAAAACAAAATTCACTCAAAAGATTTGCACTCAAAGGAAACATCTGAGCCTGTCAAATTGAAAAGTGAAAGGATCGTTAAGAAGGTAATGGGCACTATTTTTCGTGATTCAAAAGGGAAGACACGTATTGCCAAACTTTCTAGAAGTACAGAAAAAGGTCACCAAAGGTTATTACGAAGACGTTTGGAGAAAGTCAAAGGCATCTCTCGCCAAAAAACAGAGCTGAAACCTGCACAGTCAAACTTTGCTTCATCATGACAATGCCTTTGCCCGTAATTCAGGAGCTGTCAGAGTCCTGTTGTGTGAATTTTGGAGTGAAACACTTTCACATCCTCCTTGTTGTCCAGACCTAGTTCCCTCAGACTATTTTTGCTTCCAACACAGAAAGAACACCTGGAAGTCACCCAATCTACGTCTTTAGATGGCAAAGACGGCACCAAAATTCCTTCATGAGGGAAATCGCAAGTAGACAACGATGGAGTGTATATAGAAAATTGGATGGAATCACTTGTTAAATAAGTGAATCATGGAACTTGTTTGAGAACCTTTTGACTCACCCTGGTATATGTAAGAAATAGGTGTCGTTGAGTTGTACACACTTAAGAGGTGGGAGGGGGTAAGGGGGGGGACATGAAGGAAAAGACGACTTCAGTGAGTTCAAGTGGATAGAGCACACTCCAAACAACAGACAATAACAAGTGCATTTTTCTTGGTTTTGTTTTGTAGTCAAGAAGAGAATGCAGGCTACGATAAAATTTGAAGGCCATAACTGTTCAAGTTAGTTGCTGAACAACTTCATGGAGGAAGCCGAAATGATTGCACAATGGATCCCACTGACTTCTCAAATGGTATCAGTCGGATAATTAGGCAACAAGCAAACCATAAAATTCTGTGCGTGATTGTTCTTGTCAGATAGTTGGTCTTCCAGCAACTAGAAATATTTGGAAAGTCCAGTGAATCCTGGGTTCAGGTGAAGAAAGGCTCCTTATATTTCAACCTAACCCTTCCCCACCTCCCCCAACACGCCGAAACTTGTAAAAGTATCCTAACCGGCCTATGTATTTAAATACTTCATACTTAATAATGGTGAAATATTTGTCGGTTGTTAAAACCACTAGTAGGAGATTTTTAGCCTTTTCCATTAAATCGTAAACGATTTCAGGAATGTTGAGGGTGATGGCCTTTTTGAATAATGATGATTTCAGCAGTCAAACTAACTTCTTAATGAGTCCTGGAGATTGATGGAAAAATATTGATGGCCATGGAACTCCCGAGGTTAAATTAGATTTGCCCTCGCCGAAGAAGTGCATTAAAAAGGACATTGAAAAGTGCTACTCAGCTTTAATCAATAGCTTTGGCATTCAACCATCTACAAGTCAAGAAGCACTTAACGTTGTAGTCTACCGAAACTCACAAGAATTGAGGTACTCCTCATGGTCATCCTCCAACTCTTCTTCATCCACTTCTCCTTCCGCATCCATGTTGGCATCATCCTCCTCTTCCTCCATCATTTCCTCATCTTCCTCCTCTTGCCATCGCCTTCTCCCACTCACCAAACTCCCATCGAACTCTTCACGAGGCCTCTCACCCACTCGCTTTGCTCTCCTGGATGATGCTTGTTGTCTTCTACGAGAGACGGACAACGACGGGTGTTCTATTGACTCGGAGACCTCTTCAGAGAGCGGGGATAGGAGGCTTACACGATCCTCTGGAGTGGGAGAACGTGGAGCCGTAGTCCTCTCACCGGCGTTCTGGAGGTCGTCTGGTGGAACACTAGATTCCTTTACTTGCGATGAAATGCCGAGAACACGTTCTGCCTTCGCTGTGTTGCCGATTTGTGGATGACTCGACCGCCAGTAGGCTTCCAAATATTCAGCGAGATGTTCACAGGCATCCTGAAGTTGATTCTCCTCCAAAATTACATCAAACTGGTCCTAAAGGGAGAGCAATTTTTCTTTCAAAATAATAATTATCCAGAGTTGGAAAGAAGGGCTGTTATTTACAACTGCGCAACTTTCAAAAGTTCAAAACTAGAACAAATAACATGCGACAAAAATAAGAGAATTTGAAATATTAAAATTCAAACCATTTTCATTCCAGCGATTTTACTAAAATTATGCCGCGAAAAGAAATAGTGAGAGCACATTAAAGATCATTTTGGGCATATCAGTTAAATGAATTTATAATTAATTCAATTAGAGCCGGCCACCCTGTCTTTAAATAACTCTTCTCACAATCTGGAGATACAATCCTGGAAGATTCTCCCGGATTTAGTCAACAATATGCATCCAGGTGCTTTCTGAAGCGCTTGACAAGCGCTTTCCACCGAAAATCGAGGTAGTAAAAGAGAAGAGACCCACTTTGTTTTATAGGAACAGTGAAACCCCCCCCCCTGCGTTGGCGTTTAATTCAAATCCCAAAGAACAGTCAAACATCACAAAGCGTGAAAAGTAGATTTTTATGCAATAAAATGGCTCATTTCTTCACCGAATATATCCTCATCAGTGCCTTGTACAGGGAACAGTGGTGTTTTCCAAGACACTGACAACAACCAGCTGCTTTATGTCTGGAATACGGCGGAGGGAGAGAAGCGACACCACTCCAGATCTTCAAGTATTCAAGCGTTCGAGCACGTGCATACTGCGCCTGGGGGTAACTCAGAAAACAACTTGGACGGTTTGGCTGAAAGTGGCCTTGGAGTAGCGCAGAAGTGATCAGAGGTAAAAGTCGAGAGGAAAGAGCGATTTCACCAATTAACTACTCTAAATCCGCCTCTCCTTTGCGAGCGCTGTAACCGTGTAAATTACAATTCAATCAAATATGTCTATAAGCAAATATGCAGGGCATTGTGTAGCTGTAGATATGCAGTAAGTATGCAAAACGAACAGCTGAATGACTTCAAAAGAGATGTTGATGGAGGGAGAGAGAGGGAGGGAGCCAAATGAAAGGGGCTACTCAGCTGCTGCTGCTGCTGCTACTCAGTTTAAATAACAAATTGAGCAGTAAATGTGGAATCACAAAGAAAAAACTGCCAACAAGAGCAGATAAATAAACCAATCGCATTGAAAGGAGTTCAAGGACATAAATATTAATTATATCAAATGACAGACATTTTGGTAATTATTATTAGCACTTTAGCTGACTTCGGGCTTCAGAGAGAGGAGGAAGAACATCAAAGTGAGAAAAATTCGAGAGGGAGAGCAGTGGAGAGAGTCAAAGATGTAAAAGAGACAGACAGACACAGAGGCAGAGAAAAAAGGTGAGGCGAGTACTGTGGAAGTTGTGGAATATGACATACGATGGAGTGATGGTTGTTTGAAGTCAGAAGTCAACTGGCGGTTAATAGACTCTCATGGTAGTTTGAAGTCAACTGCCAGGTAATAGACTTTAGTTTGAAGTCAGAAGTCAACTGGCGGTTAATAGACTCTAGCCGTATGAGTATACGTTGCCCAGGGTGCACCACGTGGAGTTAAGTCTATCGCACTCCCAAAGGACAAAAATATATCCTGTTGACTTTACAAATTATGTTCCTGTGGTTGAAAATTCGAGTTCAGCTTCTCGGCTACATGCAAGAATTCTTTACTGAACATAACTCCTGCAGAAATTCGAATTTCGTTTAATAGAGTTTGAACCAAGGCCCTTATGTTATTGTCCCATTTAGAACTTATGTTTGGAAGATAATTATATTTTGGCATTATACAGTTAAAAGAAATTTCACAATTTCTACTTGTTTTACAGTGGATTATAGGAAATAATAACAACACACACCTAAATATTGGACAACCACTCAATGTCTTTTGGTTGACTTCCAAAGATAAGAACAATAGACATTGTTCATCCTTTGTTGATGAGACGATTCAATAGCCAAATTTCTCTGATAGGGGGGGGGGGAGTTATATGGAATTGTTGAAGAAGGTGGGAAGAAAGAACTTAGCAGACTGTAAACAATAAGATAATAATTAAATAAACTTATTTGAATGCATAGGTGAAGCAGAGAATCAGGAGGGCAAACAATTTATTTTTACTCGAGATTTCAACAGCGTATGGCCAGGTGAAGGAAATATTGCACTCACGTGGAGATGGGATATTTTGGGTTCAATCACATTTGTGAGGGAACAAAAGCGAATACAAATTGGCCCCTACTTCAGACCCGGTGACCCAAATTTTCCCAGCAGTAATCGCCTCAATTTGACTACTCCGAGATAGCCTTGAATTTGCGCGGTCATACACGAAGTATTGAACAACTAACTGTAAAACCACCCAGGATAGGGAAGGGGGGACCGCTTTCAATATACATATACATATCTAAAGGCTGAAATATGCGGAGAATTTGAATGCCCCTTCTGTTTCCTATTATTTCTGACAGAAATGTCATTATAGCCAACGCATAAAATTCCTTAAATCTAGGACTAGGAGACAATAATGTATAATAATAATAATAATTAACATATAACTTAAATAGCCTTTATTTTGGACAGCATAGGGGCCCATTATGTTGACTAAAAGCCCCTCGGCAATTACAGGTGGATGAAACAATTCGCAGATCTGTCTTTTACTCTGCTGCACGATTTCTTTTAATGGACTAAGGACTCAAAACATGCATGAAACACCTGTTTCATTTCCACAGGAAGTTAGTAATGGATTGGAGGTGGAGGCCGGCCAATGAAAATGTTAGCGCACTTACATTGGTGCATTGGAGGAGTTTTTCCGCGGCAACCATTTGCACATTCATGTTGCGCGATTGGGACTTCCCGCGCGTTTTGATGAGTCGTTGGAGGACTTTGGTGGAGGAGACCTTCACGTAGACATTCACAGGCGCTAGTGACGTCTTTGCCAATTGGCTAGGATGGTTGATGGTGTCACAGTCCAACACCACCAACTGCTGAGTTCGAGCCAAATCGAAGATGCGCTCAATCTCCTGTTGCACTTCTGCAATGGGAAACATGCAAGTCTCTGCAATGGGAGACAGAAGTAGCAGCAAAGACAGGAGACTTTGAAGCCCTCTGCACACGAGAGTGGAGACACCACTAAAAATTCCCTTAAATTCGGAATCTTTTGATTACATGGAAATATGAACTACGATTCTTCAAATGAGACACCATATTTGCGTGCCTAAGTCCTCTAGTTAGTAAGAGGATTAGCTAAAATAAGCTAAAATTATCGAGGCTTCATGTATTAATCGCGGAAGTGAGACATCTACTCTAGTAATGAGGCCATTACAGCACGGAGCACAATTCCGCCTTTACTTCCGCCCCTCTCCGATGAATGAGTTAGTAGACCTGGTTGTAGTTCCTCTTACTTAGTTGTTCTACGATTTCAACCAAGAAATAAAAGAATTGAATTCTCATCTCACACGTCAAATTTGAAGCATATTTGTCCACTATCAAGCAGTGGCCCAAATGAAAAAAAAACTATCTACGTTCCGGGCACCAAAGAAAAACCCAAATTTGCACACCGAGGCATTCGAGCATCAAAGCACGCATGAAATGAAAACATTCCACAGCCACTTGACCACATTTGGCCTTCATTTTGCCTCCTGTCTTAAATGCCTTTCTACTATGCAACGAGTTGCATGATTTTTTGCCACGCTGGGAGAAAAGTGGAAATGAATCGAAACTTTCCAAAACTGTCAAACCTGATAACGCGTCTCCCTTTAAAGTACAAAAAAACTACTTTATGCGAATGGAGCCGCTCTCTTTATCTCTGAGTGAAAAAATTAAAACCCCCCGCCCCCTCCCCCCAGCAAGTACACTCCCTGTTTATGGAAGTGAACTCTAAGCGCGTCTCCATAAAAACAAAACGCCTGCCGATCTTGCTTAATCCAACCAATTTCCATGTCAATTTCCACGTCAGAGGGAGCAATCACAGCAGACAAAGCGAGAGAATAAAAAACATTAAGTGAGTACAATTGATGAAAGCCGATTTCATATTGATCCAAGGACATTGTATAAATTGAGTATTTGAGGTAAAAATGCTAGCACTCTAACAGGCCGGGGAGGGGAGGGGTTAACGGACTAACCGAATGACTGATTCCGAGTTGACGCTTTGTCCATGATCGCTCTTCGAGTTGGATTATTGAGAAGGGATCGCTTGGCTAGAGAGATATCTGCAGTCACTCTTGTTATAATAATTCTACAATGGAAATGAAGCAACATTTTAAACAATGCAAACCATCCAATAAATGCGAGTTTTTCCACCTGTTAAGCAAAGCAAGTCTTACTTTGAATTGCCACGTTCTTTTATTCACACGACAAAAGAAAATGTTTTTTTACCCTGAACGAAGCATATTTAAGCGGTATGAATGCGGGCGAGGGGGGGGGACAGTCAGGTTTAAGAGGTGTGGGGACAGCGGAGAACTCAAATAGATCCGAACTCGAGAATTATCAAAGTAAGCTTCATCATCGCCTTTCAGGTGACAGCCTTTTCAACTCACACAAAGTGCTTATAAGCAACCAAATCGTGCAAATATCTGAACGTATCTCCTGGACTCAGTTTTAGGGCGGGAGTTGAAATGGGAGGAGATTAGATAGACGAGTATTCTGTGTGCGGAGGAGCTCAGATTAGAATGAGTAGAAGGAGGGGGGGGGGGTTAGTTTAAAACTACCCCGTGCCAAATGTCAAGCAGATAATGGCACCCAGATAAAGACATCGAAATGAGATGATGTCCAGTATTTAAGACTCAAAGGAACAAGACTCGCTACCGCCGTCTCCTCCACTAATTGCAAGAGGAGACAGTTTACGAATTTCCAATTAGATAAAGAACCCACCAGTATGCGGTACCCTAGTTAGACCCAGGAAGACTGATTAGAGAAATTTAGCTTGAGAACTTGTAAAGAGAACTTGCAAAAGAGTGAGTCACAGATGTAAGCGAGACATAGACACAAAGATAGAGAAAAAGGTAAGATGAGAGCTGTGGAAGGTGTCGAATATGACATACAGTGGGGTGATGGTAGTTTGAAGTCAGAAGTCAACTGCCGGATGTACCACGTGGAGGTAAGTCCATCGAGTACACCCAGAACCTATTATAAACTAGTGCTTATTAGGTTTAGATTTTATGAGTTAAAAAGTCCAATTTTAACTTTACTCAAATCGAGGGAGGTAAGGCAAGCTCGAAGTGACCTTAAAACTGGCATTGAGATCGAATCGAAAAGCATAAGAATTTACACATTTGTAAAATAAGTAGGTGGATAATGATGACGAATTTATATCGTCTCCAATTGAAGCTTTCTAAACCCCGTGCAAAGGAATTCCACGATAAGGTAAATCCTCCTCCAATGAGCTTATTACCTAAGATATGGTAAAAACCCATATTTTTAAAAATTTTTCGAACAACTAAGCAAGAAAACCAACCAACGAATCCACAAAGACACGATTTCAATTCACCACAACGTGAACGAGATCCATTTTTAGTGCCAAAAAAAGAGTTTACAAGATTTCACTCAAAGGAGGTAAATTCGATGAACGTATTAGGATTGCAAACTCAATAAATAAGAGGCTAGTTATTATTACCAATAATAGTAAGTGTGAAAGCATGGCGTTGGCGAGGGCAGCTGAAGACGCGAGCCGATTGGTTGAAGGAAGGGAAAGTGGGGAAAGGAATTATTCTTTTGACTTGGACAGGTTGGTAAGCACTAACGTCGGAAAGCAGGAATCCGAGACTGCTTCCAATCATCAAACAAGCAAAATAGAATAAGCGGAGCACTCAAATCACATAAATTGGGCTTGAGTTTTGGCCAAAATGCACTCCAACGGGAAGAGAGAGCTTAGTAGCAATTAAAAATAGCATTGCTTTCGTTTGATCCAATCTGGTCACACAAACAAACCCAAAATAACTATTTAAACAGCTCATGATTAAAATGAGCAAATAAAATGGCGCACAATTCAATGAAATAATCAAAGCCATGACTAGAGACAGGTCGAGTTGCACATTTGGGGAGGAAGATGCCAATGGAGAATTAGCGCAAAAGAGGAGACAAGTTGACTCGGAAATCAACCAACCTGACAATCTGTGGATATGACGCTGTGGTCAGTGGCAGCTCCCAATTTGGCCACTTCCAGAGGTTCCTTCCACTCTCTCTTTGCCCAATTCGCGAAAATAAAAATGAAAACAAACTGCCCTTTGTGAAAACGGGCTCTAAGGCCATCGAGATTACATGCAGCATTACAACTACTTCAAGCTAAATAAGCACAATTGAAGTTCACATTGTTTTATAACTGAAGTTAGCAAACCGCATATTCCTTTCCCGTGGTAACTAGACTAGTAGAGGTCGAATTCATGTACAGCCATTACGCAAGTCTTGGATGACATGATTCCTGAACTGGACTAAATGTTAAATGAAAATGGGTATAAAATCGCTGTCTTAATGACTGGATTGAATTCCATCTCTCTCTCTCCCTCCTACACACCTAACTCGATGCCTGTCGAGACGAAATTATAACCATTTTTAAAAAATCGTCATCGATACTTTTTCATCTTTCCTTCTCATCATTATTTTCAAAATGCATCACTCCTTACAGGCCTGTATGAGTAAATGGATCGATGATATTTGCCAGGCATTCACGTGGTTACTTCGCGTTAATCGCTGTAACCACGAGAAGCTCTGTGTCCCCCCCCCCCTCCCTCAGTCTTGGATATCGGTTTGTAAATCTTAAGACAGTGTGACTACCAAGGCACCTTCATTAGAAAACAAAAACTTGCTGCAAATTTGGCAAGTGACAAGTGAAAGGACTTGTCCATTTAAATTTGAGTGTGGAAAGGAGCGCCAGTAGACAAAATGCTACTGCAAGTGCCTCCACACCCTCACGAGTAGTGGTGGAGTTGGTGGTAGTGGCTGCAGCATAGGAAAAGGCAATTAGGGTTAGGGTGACATGGCAGAACGTGAAAGCGAGAGTGGATCCGGCCGTGACAATTAGCACTCCACACTACAAATCTTCTCCCTTCCTGCCCAAATTCTCATTTTCCCTTCTTTAAGCGCAGCTTATTTTGTTGCGACACTCAATGACTTCTTTACTTGCAAGGAAAACAATACTGCAATGTTTCATTATTAATACTTTGAATGAGCTGTTATTTCGGCTTTAAATTCGACAAAAATATTGTAAAATCAAACTACCAATTTTCAGAACCCAATGAAAATATTGTAAAAATTAGCAAAAAATTTTAAATTTAAAATGTTTGTGACTTTAGGAAGAAAGAGGTCAACTTCAACCTCCTCATTGGAAATTGCGAGACAAAATGTCCGCTGAGAGCACCCACAAATGTACAGACCTCAAGGTCAGTGCGCTCACAGTCAAATTGGCTGTCGTTGACAATCGAAATGCATGCTACTCCTCCTCAAGGCATTTCTTAGCACATCATTAAATTGGCAAACATTCTAAACCAAGACAGTCTCTGAAGATAGAAAACGTGGAGAAAGAAAAACAGAATAAAAATGTTTAATGAGGCCACTCTACGAAATAAAATGTAATAAAAAATTAAGATTTTGACAAAACAATGGAGAATCATACGCACAACAAAAAAGAGAGCGCAAAATCTGACAGTCGTAGAAGGATCGGCGTTGTCAGAGTATAGGCAGGATACAAAAAGGCATTTCCCACCTAATCTTATGCATATTAATTATTAAACCTAATCTATAAGAACTACTAATGAGTAAGCACACACCTAACCAGTTTGATTAAAGTGCATTCACCGAATCGTCCAATTCCACGTCTAATGAGTAACAAGGAGGGAAAGTAGAGAAGTCTTGGTGTTGATGTTGGGGAATAAGAGCGAGCGACAATTACTATGGAAGATTGCATGAATAGAATTTACAAAAAAATAAAGACAAGGTAGAAGGACAAGCAGAACGGACCTGCCCTCGAAGCGATGTTTGAGAAAGTCGAAGAGCGCCTTTTGCATCATGTCGGTCACCTCATAGCCCTTCAAGGAGGGACCAATTAGCACGACAGGTCGCATGGTTGGCACAACTTCGTATGGCGGAATGTTGTCTGTCTACAAGGAAGGAGGCGTCAACGTATGAGTTTTGGCGCATGCGATAACAATAATAATAAAAAAAATAAGAAGAAGAAGAGTTGCAATTCCCATGTACCCACCTTCTTGAAGAAGGCCTTCCTGCCGCCCTTCGTGTTGCCGAAGCTTTTCGAACGCGACGCCGGCTCATTCTCGTCTCGACCTTCTCCGTCCGTATCACCTTTACAACAATAATAATAATAATAAGTATCATTATTATTAGTGCACTAATATTATTTCCAGCTATTTGAGATAAGCTGAATATATATATATATCAATAGAATCGATTAAATGGGAAAAAATTGTAGAGGTGAAGCTACCTGGAGGAGTGGAAGCTCTGGAGGCTGTGGTACGAGGAAGCGAAGACGAATCGAAATTTCCTTTCCCCCTGAAAGGATTTGAAATCCAAGCTCATTAATCAGATTAATACAAATAGCCTCAACCTCAGTAAAAGTGTATTTGATTTTATTTTTGCATTTGAAAACCAAAAAATCTTCTTTCAGTCTCCAATTATTTTACTTCAGACTAAAAGAAAGTTATCTTATTAATATTAAGCGCCAGACAATTAGAGGCAGTGGGAGTTCAAATCGGTGATCGAGATCAATGACCAGAGAGAACAGACACCAACAAAAAAGAGTTTAAATAGAAAAAAAGACGTGGCTTTTTAGGCATTAATTTTAAGGGCCAATCTTCCGTCTCACATCTCACAAACTGGTACGTTGAGCAGGCACAAGGGAAAGCGGAGTTCAGGTGCTGAAACCGCGGCAAATCCGCAAATGTCATCCCAAATTAGATTTGAGTGTTCAACGCATCTTCATGATGAATAAAATATTGAAAAAAGAGATTCACGTCCATTAATGCTCATTTAACAAACATAGTGATGATACTGTTGTAGATTTAGAAACTCGACAAAAAATATCCACGCAATTAATACTTGCAAATGAGAATGCAAATAAACAATAAACGAAATCGCCAGTGTGAGAAAAGCCATTTTTAAATTGGCTAGCTGAAAACGGGAAAAATATTTTTCCCGCAAAATGAACTGCCACAAACAAGCTATTTCGAAGAATTTCAAGAAAATTCATTTTTTAATAAAAAAAATATGTGTCATTCAACACACCCCGCATTCTTGGATGGACGAGTGCGAGTCCGAAGAAATTCGAGTTTGGCTGGTGAGGGAATAAAGCCGACATCGGAATTTTCTTTCACCAAACGTCCAATCCACCACTCATTATTAAATTTCTCCTTTATGTGCAGAAAGTCCTTCAACTGAAAGTAAATAAAAATCAAGTGTTGTTTTAAATATTATAAAGACTTTTGTGATTGAAAATGTGCCAAATTTAAAATTTCAATGAAATAGGAGAAAGGAAAATACCTGAAAGCTGACTACATGACCAGGTAAAGGACAATCAGCACATGCTGTCCCGTCGAAGCTGACATTTGTACGTACAGCAAATACAACAGAAGAAACCTAAAGTAATTAGATACAATTAAATTAGCAATAACTTCGACTTACTCTGGCCTTTTCTAGCTGTTCGTTTGCAAGTCGCTCGAGTTCAATTCGTTCTGCCTCGACATCCAGTGATTTGCTTCCATCGTCATTATCCTCGTCCCCATCAAAGCTTAATTGAGACGAAGGGACTGAATGTTCCGAATCCTAAAAGATAATAAAATACAAAAAATAGCTACTATATATATAGAGGAGTGAGTGTGTGCGTAGGTAGGTAAGTTACCTGCCGTTCGAAGCTTGTGCTTTTACTGGAAAATACACTATCTGATCTGACACCAATCATTTTATGTTGGTTACCTACTAAATAGAAATAAATCATTGGACAGGAAAATTAAGTTCGTATACAAACTATGCATAAAAGAAAGTTGGACACAATGCAAATGCATAAAATTAAGCAGCAAAGCTAAAATGGATCACATGACTTATAAACGAACTCGAATTATAAATATATAAGAAAAAAGCACGCAAAAAGTTATTATTAGCATGAACCCCGAATGACAAAAATATTTGCAATATAAATTACCACTTCAAATATCCTGATCGACCTTGACAATAATGAAGTGAGTTAGTTATTTATAAAACACTTGATTTCGATAATTACAGGCAATTTATATAAAGTGAAAAATTAATATAATTTTAATGACTACCAAAAGTTGATAATTTATATTTGAAACTTTTTTACTTTTAGTGACCACAGTCGACGATTTTATTTATTCCAGTTAAGTGAATTCTCATTTGAATTTATCACTGCTAATTTTCATTTAAATCTTTTATTCATCAAATTTCGTCTTTCAGAAAAGTGCATGTGGAAATATATTCACTAATTTTTCACTCAAAATAAGGACTGTTTTACACATAACTTTATGCCAACCATATTAAACTATATTTCTTGTAGTTAACGCAACTAATAGATATTATATTGGATATCTTGCGTATTGCCTTAACATATTCGGTCACATTTCATTGTTAGCCAGATAAAAGTTATTTATTGAATTTTAAATTAATAGATTTGATTTCAAACCTTTCAAACCCAGTTATACATCATTTTTTTCCGCATTTCCACATATTAGTTTTCGTGCACCATGATCTTTTCCCTCTTATCTTTAAGGCATTCGCTCAGGTATCTCCAAAAATGCCTTCATTCTTTTTCCCTATTCACGAAATTCCATTTTAAGTAACCCATTGGGTGATTACTACGCTAGTTCATTTTTCTACAAAAAGAACGCGCATCATCATTATCATGATGAATAATTACTATGCACCTTGAATAACAAATCACCCAGCTTAACAACCTTTTGACGACGGATTAGAATGCATGCGCACGCGTCTTTTTCAAATTAAATAATCCACCAAGGTATGCAAACTAATTTGTCAATACTTCACTTTGCTGTTTGAGGAGTCTCGTTCATAATTGAGGCAGATATTTGTATAAATAAATGCCATAATTTTTTAGCCCATGTTGCACAACACGAAGTCAAATTTACAAATTATATTTTTTCTAGGAAATATCATTGATTGCCCAATATTGTGCAATAAAGTTGAATTCATTTTAAGCCATATAAAACATTAGAAAATGTTGGAATTACATCGAATGTAAGAAGGACTGTTTATCAGTCCTCGCTTCGATCTCATTAGATATGTAAATATTCACAATCTAAAGCTGTAGAAAGCAATGCCCGAATTCTATTAATTCAAAAGTTCCTAAGTCTGCATAAAGTGAACCGTTAGCAACGATGCAATTAGCCATGAAAGGGTGCCTTACCGTTAAATAATTATAGCTATTTAATGGCTAAATTTTTATTCTAACCTTTTGTCTAGAAGTGTCTGTTTGGCCACATGTTGAAACCAGAAAATGTCACTTAACGACATTTATATCGACTAATTCTCTTATTTTCTCATAGCAGTTATAGCTTTTATTATATGAAATCAAAATGGCTTGGCTGCTAAAATTTGCGGCGCATAGAGATACTGTAACATTCGCCAACTTAATAAACTGAGTCTATTTTATTATTTATATCCACTGGGTACGGGGTGTGCGATAGACTTACCTCCACGTGGTGCACCCTGGGCAATGTATACTCATGCGGCAAAAAAGTCTATTGACTGGCAGTTGACCTCTGACTTCAAACTACCACCACCCCACTGTATGCCACAATACTCACCCCCACCTTTTTTCTAACTTTCTGCCTGTCTATTTTACATCTTTAAAGCACTCTTTCCCACCCCCTCTCGACTTTTTTTCACTTTGATGATCCTCCCTTCTGTGAAGCTTGAAGTCAACTAAGGGGCTGATGATAACTATCAAAACTCCTGTCATTTGATATAAATAAATATCCACTGGGTACAGTTGTATGGACATATAAGTGTCTCTGTGATTAGCTTTTTGCAGTCAATGGATTTCCTTAGATGACAAATACTCCGTGCATCTCAGCAGGCGGCAAGAACGTCTGCTAGCCTGCTGTTGCATTAACCCCTTTACATTTACAGACTTCTTGGTCCAAGGTGATTTTTAATTATACACCAAATGAAGCAAACCTCTTGGCATTATGATGTAGGAAGCGTGTTAATGTTTGGAAGAAAAGTTGAAGAGAAATAAAGGGTAAACTCTGGGGCTGAAATTATTTAGAGGTTAACAAATTAAAGTTTAAATGAACTCAAAATGTAAAATATCGCCGTTTCTATGGTAATTGGTAACGGAATTAGTGAATATAAGGTAATTTGTGCATTTCTGACAAGATTTCGATAAAATATGGACCTTTACCACACTTCATCTACCTAGAATATTATTATGGAGTTCGCTCGACGGTAACCCCTTTAAAACGACGCTTATTGATAACTATCCACATAGCATTACATTTTCAATTCGAAGGTAAATGACAACCACCATCATTGTGGTTGTCATCATTCCTTCATAATTTCCTCTTTTCAATGCAAATTTCAACACTGTTAATTGCCAATCCATACTACTTTTATGAGCATGTGTGAGAATTGGGGTGGGTCGTTTCTTAATTAAATTTGCATTAAGATTATTGAAGGAATGGGAAATTTTTTGCATGAAATGTTGCATCTTTCTAATTGACTTCCTTTATTTAGGGATATTCAAGTATTTTAAGTATGATTCAGCATATTTTAAAGCAATTTATTATTTTCTCCATAAACATCATATATCATTCTTAGTTTCCAAAGTTTGTTTAATGAAATGGTATTTCGGATAGGACAGTGGAAAAAGAAAGTTACATGAAGTCGCCCCCTCGGTGGGGGTAATTGATCGATTGGATTTGAGATCAGGTTGAAGGAGAAAGAGGAGGAGGAGGAGGAGGAGGCGGAGTAGAGATGCCTTTACTTTTATAAGTCATAGTTTCATAGAGCTGAAGAAAATTTGATTTCTACAATTCATACTCAGTGTGCACTATGCATGCACGGGTAAGTTATGCAGTGTAAACAATTGATTAAAAAGGCCACCTAAGTACTCAAAACAGTTGAAGTCGCGTTAACTCCAACTCAAAATAACTCATTTTAAGTGAATAGCTCTTAATTCCCCCCCCCTCCAAATTTGGTCACATTTACTTCCTACAGTTCTTACAAAATTTTTGTTTTTTATTTTCTACCTTAGACTTGTTTTTTGTTATGAAGAAGCAGTGATTAGAAGTTGGGTGAGTTGTGAAGGGAGACCTGAAATTCATTTGAACAAGGGGGGGGGGGAAATGTGCCAGAGGGAAGATGACCGAAGTAGCAGATAAATGTCGACTGACTTTGTGGGCTCCCAAGTGCCCATAAAAGGCGTTATATATTTTTCATGGAGGGGTGGGTGACAAACTTACCTCCACGTGGTGCATCCTGGGCAAGGTATACGCTTACGACTAAAGAGTCTATGAACAGGCAATTGACTTCAGGCTTTAAACTACCATGGCTCGACTGTAGGCTATATTTCACCACTTTCACAGTACTCACCTCACTGTACTCTCTTTTACATCAGTGAATCACTCTTCTGTTTCACCTCTCCCCTTTTCGTGACTTTGTCTGTTTCCACCATCTGTGGAGTCAGAAGTCAACTAAAGGATTAATGATGTAAATAAAAAAATAGTTTCTTGGAAGATGAGTAGCGCAAACATCTGAAATTGTTGGGATGAGGGTGATAGAATACACTAAAATCTGGCCACACATGGGATAAACGACTATTGGACTCTTCTTAGTGATTTAAGTTCTCCTTTCTGATGAGCATAGTCTCTCTCGTATTTCAAACCTTGACCTTGACCTGATAGTTTGGATTCTCTGGTCACTGCCTTTAATGACTCAAGGACAACAATGTAAATAGTTCAGCAAGTGCCGGGATTTTCCGAAAATCTGCTCAGGGCGGCTAAACGGAAAATCCATGTCATGAAAGTGTTTTTGAGGCCAAATAACCGCCCACCCGAATGAGCACCAATGGGCGATACTACTTAAGTAAATTATTTCACCTACAGCGGGATCGTATTGGCCCTCCAGAATGACTCATCCCCTTTGGGTTTTTTAACTTTTAACTTTCGAAAAACCCGGGTACGATGATAGTCATTTTAAAATCGAACTAAAAAATAATTAAGTAATTAATTAATTAATTACCTCAAAAAAATGGCTACTTCTTCCCAACTTTCGAAACGTAAATCTTCAGGCACTTTTTAGAACCACATGAACTTTCAGGTCTGCCATTTTATCCTTATTCCATAGTAGGAAGGTTGATTTTCAAAAAAATTAAAAGTCTCCAACAACAATCAATTTAAGGCATATTGAAACTAATTAAATGAATAGTATTTTCCCAGTATTTTTTTCAGTTTTCCAAACAAAGTTGTTTAAGACCAACACAGAAAGTCCAAAATTCTATTGAAATTTTCTTTTTAACCGCTTAGTATTTTGCGGCAAATTTCTTTGGTTGCGCTATAAGCTAAAAAAATATTAGTTACTCAGAGATAGCGTAACACCTCTTCTTTTCAAACCAACGGCGTTTTTGAAAAAGCTATAACCACCCAAGTCATCCCCCTGCTCAGACACGGGGTACACTACCGCACCCTGACAAGCGCGCAACCAATAGAAAGGCAAAAGTACTGGCGAAGGTGCGCACTATAGCAATCTTTTCCAGATTCTGCAAATGCAACCGATTCACTCTGATCTTGGTTCTACGGTGATCACTCAACCAAATCCTCAACTCCTCTATCATATCCTCTGAACCCACCTCCTCAAAATGACGGTCCAAATTGTAAGTATCCACCCATCCACTACTAAGGTTGGGGACCCACAAGGATTTTCTTATGTACTTTTAAGAATCTTGATATGCTGTTTCATTCCATTCATTTCTTACATTTCAATGCATAGTGGTAATTATTTATTGACTTAGTTCAATTGAGGTCACTGTAACCTGCAACCTGATCAGTTTCTCAACTCATGTTCTATACTTCACATAAATTAGCATAAAATGGAGTGAGAAAATAAAATTGATACCGGTTGTGTATTTGGTGGGGAAAAACTCACTTTCTAAAATTACTTCAAAGGTCTATGATCCTGATGATAGCGCCGGACGCATTCCTAACACCGATGTCAATAGAAAAAGCCTTGTCAATGGCAAAGTCATCAACGTTAAAGTGGGAAGTCCTGATGATTACAGTAAGTAACTCTTTCGCTGATATCTTCTTTACTTAGAGTCATTTAGAATTATATATGAATATTAGAAGTTGTGTATTCCCCTCTCCCTTAATCAAATTAATTTTGTTAATAAAAATATATTAATTCTAAGTTGAGAAAACAAAAAGAACAACGGTTTTTACATTACATGTTTCTGGCTGATTGCCCACGTGAGTAGTAAACTATTGGATTGATCGTGTGACTGACCAATCCAATGAAAATACATCAATCTGACCTGCATTCTGCTGTGGCGTTTGCCAAAACGTGGAGCAAATGAGAAGCAATTAGTCGCCTGAAATGAAGGAAAAAGGAGTGAGTAAGGCGCTGTCAGATTGTCCTACTGCGGTGAAATCGAAGAACTTCATCGAGAGTGATAAACGCAAATCGAGTCCTCCTTCGCTTCAGTTAGTTAAAAATGGCTCCAAGGCGATTGAAAAGATGGATTCTAGTACTGGCAAAAACAGAGAGATCAAAAGCATTTACGAGACAATGCGAAACAACCCCTTTGTTGTTTCGCAAGGTAAGATAAACTACTCACTCCGTCTGTTCATCAACGACCCGCGATTCAATCGTATTCCACATAAATTGCAGTTTATTGATCGTTAATGAAGTTCTAATTGCTTTATTTAATTTCATAGAAAATATCTTGAAGCCTCAGCACTCAAACAAACGTCTTTCCCACAATCCAAATGTTCCCAAAACGTTGACTCCCAAGGGATATACCAAGGTAACTCTTCTTGACTTCTTAAATAAATTGCATTTCACGGTGCAATGCTGCTACTGATGATGATGGTGATGATGGTAACGGCGTCGATGACTTACCTTTCAGATGCAACTAATGATGAGCATTTCAAAGAAGAAGTATGATAACATTGTGAGGAAATTGAAGGGAACTGGCCAGCTCTGGGAGGATCCCGACTTCCCATTGGATAAGGCTATTGGAAATGTTGAAAATCTTCCCAGGTATGAATGGAAAAGACCAAAGGTATGTCTGCATTAAAGTACATTTTTAGTTCCAATAGTGCATTGCAAGCTAACTTGATAATGGTATTGCAGGAAATTGATCCTACTGCTGATTTCATTGTCGACGGATTTGATAGAAGCGATATTTCTCAAGGCCGTCTTGGTAAGTTACGTAGCGGTATTTTGCCATTTTACTGCCAATATTTTCATGTTTTCTTAACTTAAAAATAAACAAAAATATATTAAATATCTATGTAAAGGCATTTTGCTGGCGTTTGAAACATCAACAGGATTAACAGCAGATTTGATCGACTTTGAGTCATTTCTAATGAGATAAACTGGTTCATTAAAAACTTAACATAATTAGCCACTGTTTGCGCAAGAAACAGACACAAACAGTTATTTAAATTTTTTAAAAATAAACATCATACCTCTCAAAATTTAAACAATTCTATGGTTTTATGTAATGTCATACATACAATGCACCTTCAAGTATAGCGAGTGCTATTATTTCTAATTACTAAAAGGCATCTTCCATTTATTCAAACCTTCATTTTATATTTTTTCGCCAAACTAGAGTCTATTCTCAAATTGATGATGTTACGTTGTTTTTTGTAACATGTCAATCAAATTACAAACATCACCAAAATATACATTACTGAAAGCTATCATTATAAAAATGCCGTGTTTTGGAACTTACCTTTCACTAGCAACTGAAGCCTCAATAATTCTAAAAAAAAGAAATAGAGAAATCAAAGGGTAAAAAATCGTTTATTTCAAAGGTGACTGTTGGTTGCTGGCTGTCATCTCGACGATGGCCGATATTCCTCCCCTCTTCAACCACATTGTGCCGCCGGGCCAATGCATGAAGAGTGAAAATTACTGCGGTATCTTCAGATTCCGTTTTTGGCAATTCGGACAGTGGATAGAAGTTCTCGTGGATGACAGAATTCCGGTGGTCGCTGGTACCAAACAAATGATCTTTATGCACTCCGATGAGTCAAATGAATTCTGGTCTGCTCTTATTGAGAAAGCCTACGCAAAGTGAGTCCTAAATCACCAAAATCTTCATTTGAACCCCAGACAGAATGACCTAGTAATTAGTAGTGAAAAGGTTGAAATTGATGATGACATCTAGGGTTAACATTGCCTCTTGTTAAGTCATTTGCTTACGAGATCGTCTGCCTATCAGTAAAGAAACGAGAGTATGAAAGGAAATATTAAGTAGACCCGCGTAATGGATTAAGTCAAAAAGCTTTGCTTAAAAGTTTCAACAGGTTCCCCATATAGGGAGTTATGATAAAGTGAATATCTACTTTGGAAATTACGCGGATATTTTATCGTTTCGGGAAAAGTCTTAAATGGAATGTGTCTACGATATTCACCGAAATTCCTATTGGTTTATTTATGAATTAAACTTTACAAGCGTCTTCCATAAACGCACCTAATTTTGGTTATTCGAGAACCATGATCACCAGATTTAAATCATAAAAAATGATCTCTAATGGTTAGAGGAATGGAAGAATGTTATTTTCAGTTATAAATAAATTAATAATTAACCATGGTATAGTCACCTAATTATCAATGAAAATACTAATCTTTCTGAGGCGAATATTTGATTACGCTATAGATTTCACACCTTAGAAACCTCAATTGCAATATCAATTTTAAGAGCCTTTGACTCAAAAAATGAATCTCATTTCCGTAAAAATTATCTACGATTGCCAGCACTATAAGACGACAATCTTAGTGCACCATTTATCAATTAATTAATTAATGTAACTCTATTCCAGATTGAACGGTTGCTATGCTAACTTGTCGGGCGGTACTCAAGGTGAGGCCATGGAAGATATCACCGGAGGTCTGGTGGAGTCCTTGGAACTGCCAAAAATCACCGGCACAGAGTTCTACAAAGATTTGCAAAAGTACATGCAACGTTGCTGTCTAATGGGTTGCTCCATCACTGTAAGCCCGCAAAAATTCTCTATGACAAAAATGCAATGAGAATTGACCATTTAACCTTGAGCGAGAAAGAACACGGTTGAAAGGGAAAGACTGAGCCATGGTAACCAAACCTCACGATTTAATTAGGATCGCATTTGCTCAATTATATAATGCTTCCGAAAATTTTAGTCCATTTTGATGTACTTCCCTTTGACTTCACGCGAGACTCAAAAAATGTCCGCTTCATGCCCCATAGTGCGAGTTTCATAACTTCACACCCGCTCTCCTACTCAAGGAAGGAGACAGAAGTGAATTGGGACGGAACTAGTTCCTTACTGGTGATATCTAAAAAGACAGAAGCACTCAGAGAAAAAAACACCATTCGATTGTGGTTTTGGCACAGTATTTATTTATTTATTTCAAATGACAGGCGTTTTGATAGATATCATTAGCCATTTAGCGGACTTCAGGCTTCACAGAGGGAAGGTTCATCAAAATAGCAGAAAGTCGGGAGGTGGGGAACAGAAGAGCGATTCACAGATGTAAAAGAGGCAGACAGACACAAAGGTATAGAAAAAGGTAAGGTGAGTACTGCGGAAGGGGTCAAATATGACAACCAGGGGGGGTCGTGGTAGTT